AAATAATTTATATATTTTAGTTTATTTATTTTATTTTTTATTTTATTTTATTTTTATTGTTATTCTATTCAGTATTTACCGAATAGATTTTTAAACATGTGATGGCTCTAATTTATTATACTGAAACAATAAAATATAATGGTGTTGACATATCTGTCAGACAAAGTAGACGAATACAGAATTTACCAAAACTTAACTATGGAACAACTATTCGAAAGAAAAAACTTATAACCAAATATTTTTGTAAACAATGTAATTATTTTCATAAAAAAACAATGTTGTAAGAAACAAGTGAATATTCCTTATTACTGTGAGAAATGTGATGATTTTTGAGTTGAAAAAAGATGTGATAAATGCGCAAATTTGTTGATGGAACCGGAAGATTTTGATGAGACGTTATCAGATTCCTCTCCAAATTCTCATATTAGCGATCAAACGTATTATGAACCTGACGCAAAAGATTTTGTAATACGTGATAGGTTCAAGTATATACAAACTCAAAATGGTACTTTGTTAGATAATCAACTTTATTTTAGTGATAATGAGTTGATGATGGATGATTCATCATCATCATACGTAATTCTCTTTAATTAGTTTTATACCGATTAAAATTTTTTCTGTGTAAAATTCATTTCTTATTTGTTATCAAACCATGACAGAATATCACATTGCAAAAGATACTTATTCCCTTTTACAACAAGAAGAAGCGCAACTTCTTTCTTGGTCAAATGCTATCGAGTCTATATTTGAGACTGGAATTACTTTTGATTGTAAAACTTCGATGGTTAATGAAATTAAAACTAGACTTAGTGCAAATGTTAATTTGAAGAAAATTCAGAAAGCAACTATCGATAAATTTGAGACTCAACATCTTTATTTTTCATTATGTATTCTTGTTACTTTCAAGAAGGAAATTTGGATGAGTCTAAGAAACAACCCAAACAAAGATTTTTTCGGTTATTATCAGGTGGCAGGTGTTCGCTTAATCCTGGAGAATCGTTTAATGCTTGTGTTAAACGTGAAGTTTTAGAAGAGACCAATATAGCTTTAGAAGAATATGATTTTATTATGTTTGATGAAGGAATCTGGGTATTTCCTAATATGGGTGAATGTTTATTTAAAACCGCAATTTATTTTGTTATTACTGATAAGATTCCTAAACAAACAGAATCAGATAACAATGGTCCGTGGGAAAAATATACCTTTACTCAGTTCAAGAATTTGAAAGTCACAGATTCTTTACGTCTCAAAGAAAATATTATTATCGAATCGATTTTAAACAAATTCAAGTTACGTCATTATACTAAAAGACGTAAGATCGAAGAATCTGTGGTATCTTTTCCTTCACCTGATATTGTTTCTGAGAATATTGATCATACTGAGAATATTGAGGAAGAAAGCGCTTTAGAAAATTAAACCACTTTTTATTAGTTTATTTTATTTTTTTTTATCAATATATTTACGAGTTATAAATAAATCAATCTAACTAGTCTATGACCGGTTAGACTTTTAATTACGTAATTCTGAAATAACCGATAGGAAGGTGAGTTTCACTTAATATTCATATTTGTGTACGCTGCTCTATATTGCATTAGGAATTTATTCTGGGAAGAAAATTATGAATTTTCTCGAGGATAATTTTCAATTTTGTTAGTTACACGAATGTGTAGACCCGCAACCCACGGTGTGAAAAATATATTTTAATTATTTTTATTATTACAGATAACAAATTGGTCAAAAGAACACGCTTTCGAAGGTGCTCTTCGTAAATTATTTAATGATAATGGAATAATTGCTCACATAATTCAAGTTTCTGAAGGAGATGGAGGATTAGATTTATTACTTTCGTACCAAGGTAATCAAATCTGTGTACAGTCTAAAGATAGAGAAAACGCTCTTATATTATCTATGGTCAAAGACTTTGAAGCTACGATGATTCATTTTAAAAGTTCATTAAGAATTTTGGTTTATAATAGTGAGACGATGAAAACAGAAAAATATTTGACCAAACAAGCTAAACTTTGGTCAGACAATTCAACTCAAGAATTAATTGTTTGTAACAAAAAACAAGTTGTTGAGAAAATTAAGAATTTTTTCAAAAATGAAAAAGATTCGATAAAAGAATTGATTTTAACTAATTTTAAAGCGGATAAATTTTCTTTAATGGAAATTATTTCTGAAAATGTGTATATTAGGAAGATGATAGTAAAAAAAAACAACAATCAATTTTTTCCTTTCTTTATTATCTGTTCAGTTTAATACCGAACAGATTTTTCTCAGAGTATTTTCTTCTAATAAATTTATTATCGTTTAAAATGCATCAAACTATTTTTTTATGTTTATTATTTTCATTTATCTTTTTTGTTCTGATAAAGAGAACGAAGAAAACAAAGATAATTGTATTTACGGGAACTATTAGTATTGGCAAGACTACTTGTGCTAAATTATTCAAAGCTTTCCTTAAATCAAAAGGATTTACTGTAACTCGTTACAAAGAAACTTCATTGCAAGTTATCAAAGAATTTCATATATTCTATAAAAACAAATCAAAGAATTTTCTTTTTTTCTATAAGTTTTGTTACATCACTTTAAACAACAAATTTACGAAATTAAAAAGAACAATTTTAGTTTTTTATAGTTTCTATGGAAAGTTGATTATATTATTCTCGATCGTACTCAGAAGGATAAGAAGATTTAAAAAAAAAATTTTTCCAAGATCCAAGCAAGAAAGAATATATCGATAGAAAAGTTGATGCGATCGAACCACTTAACTTCTATAAGTTTGTTTTTGTGACTGTTCCAATCAAAATGTCTATTGAATGGCAGCAAAAGAGAGCTCGTTTAGGTGAATTGGTCGATAGAGAGTATTTGGAAACGCTTAATACTTATTATCTTGAAGATATTGATTCAGTATATCCAGGGAATTTAAAATTTGAAAATATTATTAATCTCTGCGATGATTGTTCACAATGTCACAATTGTGATAGGTTCTACTATGATTTCTTTACCACTCTTTTATAGCAATTTTATTTTTATTTATTTTTATATTATTTATTTATTAAATTATCCAACTAGTGATAACCAGTTAGATTTTTAACTATGTAAAATGAATTCTTCATTAAACGATTATCGGAATATCAATGAATTACCAAACGAAATTCTAATTTTGATTTTTTATCATATTTTTCAAACAAAAATAACCTTATCCGATTTACCAATCACTCTATCGATCAAATTAGTTTGTAGAAGATGGTATAATTGTTATTTTTCATTATTCAA